GGGGAAAAAACATTTGAAACAGGAATGCATCCAGAACATTTGCTGCTCAGTTTTACGCCTACTGAAAAAAGTTATTCTCTCACACCTCTGTACATGTAGAAACACAACCCTCATTCTTCTCCTACTGACCTGTTCATTCGTGGCTCAAAAGCCTCCACTGTGTTCAGGTAAATGTTCCCATTGTGTCCCCCTACTGCAAACACTCTTCCCATTACAGTGGCGACCCCGACCCCTCCACGTGGGGTGGTGAGCTCTGACACGTACTCCCAGCGGTGCATTCGTGGGTCAAAGCGCTCTACAGAGCTCAGTGGCGAGTTGTCATCAAAACCACCTTTGGAAAATTATAAGATAAGACAGTCATAAAAATTTTATTTTGGGGGGATTTTTAGGATGTTGTTATAAATGTGAAACTCCCATGCGAAATAAAAAAAATGCGTGAAATGCTGAGAATATTAGTAAAACCTCACACTCAGGTTTAACACCTGTTTTTAACACTGTCTCCCATAAAGACGGCATTTAACGACCTCCCCTGTACACTTCATGATGAGGTTTGACACCTCAGTATAGATATCAACACTAGGACGACTATTCGAATACTTTCTGTGGGGGTTTCAAGGGTAGCTGCAAATCCTCACTAATTACTCAAACAAATGCAGTTATTTTGTTCTATAAGCAGCTCTACAAGTAGCTATACAACAGTATTACATGTTTTTACCTGAAGCTGGTGAACCTCAAACAACTCTTTAAATTGAGGTGATGCAATAAAATCCTCTTTCTGTGAATCAGTTACCAAATAGCTTTACAAACAATGAACTTTCAGCTTTCTGGATTGAGCATTTGTTTGGTTCACCAAAGAAGCACGCATGAAAGAGGAAGCAAACATTGACAAACTGCATCATATAAATTCCGTGCAGTAAATTCCAACATTATTGGACTATCCAACGAATCAGCCTGTAGAGAAGAATATGACAAGTGTTCTCCTACAATTCCTCTTACCCACTACATAGAGGCAGCCATTGAGTTTGCTGACTCCATTTCCAGCCCGACGCTGTCCCATCTCGCAGACCTCCGTCCACTTGTTGAGATGAGGATTAAACCGTTCCACACTGGACAGTGACGCCACGCCGTCGTTGCCTCCCACAGCATACACAAAATTCTGAAAATGGGAGAGCATAAAGTAGTTAAGTGCTGAGTACATATCGCAGATCAGATGTTTTTGACCTTTCTCTTCAGTTTTACCCCCAGTGCCACAGATCCAACTCCTCCCCTGGGGGTGTTCATCGGCGCCACGGCACTCCAGCAGTCACTTTCGATGTCATAACGCTCCACGTCGTTGAAACAGGAGTTGTCGTCCAGACCTCCAATAGCATATATAGGACCACCAAGGGCTGCCAGGGCTATCCCCCTCCTGAAATACATATGTTCATGAAACTAGCCATACAGTTAATGCTTCACAGAAAGAAACGTACATTCCTTACTATGGAACAGGATCAAAACTTGTAATTTTTTTCTTTCTGTGTGATCCTTAAATATTTTTAAATCACTCCAACTTTTCTTCAGGAGTTGCACTGGAGCAAATTTTCGATTGATACCTTTTGGTATTCATCGACGCTTTCATCATCCACTTGTTAGTGAAGGGGTCAAACATCTCCATGTTTCCCAAGTGTTCATTACCATCATGGCCCCCAACAGCATAAACTTTGCCTGAAGAAAACAAATTGTAATTCCCTGTTTGTTTACCATCACATGACCAGAATATGAACTGATACCATTAATATTGACATACTGCACACTAATCAGAAAATCACTGATTGGCCACAATCCTATTAGTATCAAGCATTAGCAGCAGATCCTTAATGTCCAGTTAATTGGAAGGTGCAGCTCTCCTGGATCAGACTCATCTGTTCATTTTTTTCATGGTTATGATTTCTTTCTCCTCAAGAACACTTGCACCAGTGAACAGCAGCATCCGACTGAGAACCATATTGGTATGAGACAATTTAACTGTGTGATCAGGAGGATCTGGCTCATCTGTGCCCACTTTTGACTTTACTGAGTATGTCGTACTCTACTGCCTCAGCTTCCATAGCTCAACATTTCATCGTTCAGGTGAAAATGTTCTTGTTTACATTCTGTAACGCAATCATACGACATCTTTCTTACCTCCTACAGATATTACGCCCACGTGACGCCGTCTGCTGTTCATTTCAGGGCCAAAAAACCAGCTGTTCTTAGTGATGGAGTAACACTCAATGCTGCGAAACGGGTCACCAGAACCGCCCCGGCCACCCACGCAGAACAAAACTCCTGAGGAAACAATTGGACAGAACAAATGCCGGGCACTCCGAGGTCTTCAGAAAGAAGATGAAAAACACTTTAGCTAACATGGAAAAGTTAATATAAATTACAAGTTATTAAAAGTTTTGAAAGATCTATTTGAGCATGAGATTCAGGGCCCTTATTTTTGATGGCATGGCAGCAACTTTTAAACTCAGTGCAGTGTTTTTGTTACAATCCCAGAGAACAATCCACAGGTGGACAGAGCAACCCACACATATTAAAATTACTCGCCAGAAGCAGGAGAAAGCTATTTGTTAGCATCCGAGTGAAAATTAGGTCTTGAATTTCTTTATTAAGAGAAGTCTGGAAAAATCAAGCAGAGCATTGCTTTCACTTATACACTGTCCTACATTTCTTTTAATAAAAAC